CTAATGGACATGTTTGTCAGATGATGACGCTAAGAGGAGCTTCTGAATTTTCTGTTAATGACGATGAAGCTAAATATCCTCCTGATGCAGCTGCTGGTCTCCTTTGTTTGTTCTGCTGACCTTGAAGCTGTAAAAAAAGAACACTGTAAGAATCTAAAATAACACATCAGCAGTGCTCAGTGAAGGATAGATTCATAGTTGGTTTAAGTCTTTTTGTGGGATTTGTTGATAACAACTCAAAGATAAATAATACCAGCCTTATCCTCTCATCTTGTGTGCATGTGTCAAAGAGATAAAGACAGAACGAGAGTGAGAGAGAGAGAGAGAGAGAGATGTGTTTGTGCCTGATAGTGTTCCTGTACTACTGTAAGTGTGTGTGTGTGTGTGTGTGTACTTTGATTTCCACACTCCTGTCTCCTTAATGCTCTTTAATCCTTTTACTCTTCCCTTAAAGTTTCCCTGGATTTGCATATATCCAATTAAACCTGAGCAGCAGCAGCTTCAGTGGAACAGTGAGGAGCCTGTAATGTATCCGCTCTCAAATTAATGTGCGTCCCTGTTAGACTACCAGCAACCATACAGACTGTAATTCAACCTAAAATGCATGTTATTCCTCTAAGTTTGCTGGAATAACAACATAATAAATACAGATGAAGAAATAGGAGAAAGTCGAGCTTTGTCGGGTCGTTTCTCAAAACGGCTTTACTCCAGGTACAGGCTCACACATTGACTATTGCAACTCCTGACTGGCAGATCTTCTGCACTATCAAACCCCTGCAGAAGACCTCTGCAGCACTGGTCTTTATACCAAAACAGAACATGTCACTCTGCTGTTCATCTCCTTCCTCGGACTCCCAGTTACTGCTCGCATCAAATTTAAAACTCTGCTGCTCGCTTAAAAAAAAACAGAGACAAAAACGTCTCCTCCTTACTTTAACTCTCTGATCCAGGTCTACACTTACAGCTGATCGTTTGCGGTTGTTTCCTCCTCTCTAGATCGTTACTTGTGTTGTACTTACTCTCTGTTCACTCGTTGCCTTGGGCCTGATAAATAAATTGTCCAATTGTATAACTTTTAAAATGTTTGTTTATTTATTGGAGGTCGGAGGTAGGGGGCAGTAGCTCAGTCTGTAGGGACTTGTGTTGGGAACCAGAGGGTCACCGGCTCAAGTCCCGGTGCAGACCAAGCATGGTTTGGTGCCCCTGAGCAAGGTACCAAACCCCCTCCCCACCATCAGCTCAGGTGCGCCCGCTGTGGGCCGCTCCGTCACCCTGACATCTCTCCATTAGTGCATGTCCATATGATCTCGTTTGTGTGCATGTGTGTATATACTTCAGCCTATGTGTGTGTTCATGACTATAGATTGTAAAAACTGAAATTTCCCCTTGCGGGGATCAACAAAGTGAATCTTCTTCTTCTTGGATCGATCCTTTCTGAGGCATTCCTGTGAGTCATGAAATCTAAAGCTGATTGTTTTTTTCGCGACAAAGCATCAAACATATTTAGCACTCAAATTGACATTTTAGGTCCTGAACACTTTCATGCAGATATCTGTTTACAGATGTGATTAAATCAGAGTCAGATTATCGCCGATGGGAGCCAGGAAGTCATTACAGCCGCTCGGTGCCATCTGGACTATCTTTTGGAATATTTCTTTACTTGTCACTAATTTGCTGTATTTGGTCCTGGCTGTTTAGATTTTGCACTGGGACTGTTTTCTTTCCACACGCTGCACATTTATAAAGCTTATTTAGAAGTGGAGAAGAAGCTCTTTGTTTTTTGTAGGATCACCTAGGTGTTTACCTTTTCAGAGAGGCTGACTCTCTGACGCTCATTATCCTGTCTACTATGGGGGGGAACCAGCCGCTATGCCCGTTTCCACAAGACTGCATTGCTGACTAGATATGTTCTCTGTCCACAGAAAAATCGATATATTCTCTTTTTTTTTGTGCAGGTGTTTGTGTGTGGATGTGTTTCTAAAGCAGACAGCGAGGGAAAGAGGAGGTGTAAGGTCACGGCTCTGTGACTTCAGAGATGCAAGAACTTTTTAAGTAGTTGGCTGCAGTTTGAAAACACTCAAAGAAGCGTCATGCTCCTCCGATCTTTTATGCTTTTGCTCGCTTTTCTTTTAAATATGAGGCTGTCATTCAAATTTAAAGAAAAGACTTGACGGGGCTCTTTTTTTAAATTTGTAGACTCTTATCTTCATAGGAACATTTTAATTTATATCTCTTTATATTAGGTCATTGTTGCAGAATCTTTTTAAGGCACTTTTCGGGGCGTCGGTTTTGTGGTTAATTTGTAACAAATGTTTCATGTCATGTCTTTGTAACCTGCTACTGGATGCTTTGAATTTCCCTCTGGATCAATAAAGTATCTATCTATCTATCTATCTATCTATCTATCTATCTATCTATCTATCTATCTATCTATCTATCTATCTATCTATCTATCTATCTATCTATCTATCTATCTATCTATCTATCTATCTATCTATCTATCTATCTATCTATCTATCTATCTATCTATCTATCTATCTATCTATCTATCTATCTATCTATCTATCTATCTATCTATCTTATTTCTCAGCTTTTGTACCGTGACTTTGCTGTTTTAAGAACTGCTGAAGTTTGACAAAGCCGTTCTCTGTCCTGTAATGAAAACAGACTCAGTTGATTTTTGCTCCAACTAAGTGCTACCTGTACTCCAGCTAAAAGCTCGGCACTCTGAAGCTCTGCTCTACTTTGTCATCGCAGACAACACATCTCTATCTCCTGTCTTTAATGCTTTTTGGTAACTTGAATCTTTTCTTACTGCTATTTTCTAGTTTTGAGACAAGCCTCCACTTCTTCTGTATCCGAGGAATCTGGACTTGATGATTGATGCATTTTTTTTTTTTGCAAAGAAAAAGAGAAAAAATTGTAAAAGCTATGAAAACAGAAAGGCTCCTGCTGACAAGAAGAATCAGGTTAAAAATGTAAAAAGCAATATTAAGGTATGCAGTATGTTCAAATATAAAGAACACAAAATGTGCATCAGGTGCAGTGGAGGAGCTGTCTGTATCTGACAGAAGAGATAGTGTTTAGACCACAGGAAGGACATTTGTCTTGGAATCCGTCCTGCAGTTACATGAGAATTAAATAAAGAACATAAATAGAGATCATCTAAAAACACCTTCCTGCAGCAGTGACATATCGCACATCCTACATTACCTGTTATTCAGAATATTGACAGACGTGATCAAACATAACAATGGCACATTTCATTTGTGCAACCCTGACTGTCATTTGCATTTGTTCATTGTGTGGAGACAATACAGAAAGAAAGGAAAACACTCTGCACTTGAACCTGATTTGCAGGTTAATGAAATTAGGAGTAAAACAGAGAGTGATTAGGTTGTCTAGATAGAAGATAGTTGAAACATCATCTGAAAGAGACAGAAAATGCAAAAGGAACTCTTGTGGTGTTTCGGTGCCACATTTAGGGAGTAAGTGGTTGGTAAAGGGAGTGGATGCGGCACAAGTGATGCTTGAAAGCAGCTTTCAAAGATGCATGGTCGAACAAACATTCTGCATGTTCAGACAAAGTGTGTGTGTGTGTTGTGTGTGTGTGTGTGAGAATTGTTGAAGCTCCCTGTTGTGAGTTTTTTGTATTTTGCGCTGAATTTAATCATTTTTTGGTTGAACGGCTCTCCCCTCCGTCTCCCTGAGAACACTGACATGCTTCACAACGCTGGTGGGCTTTTTTCATTCTTCATGTCTTCAACTCTCTCTCTGTCGCCCGCCCTCTTCCATACGTGCATACCACCAACCCCCACACACACACACACACACACACACACACATATCTCCAGCAGAATGGGAGAAATCGAAGAGAACAGCTGTGGAAAGTAGGACAGTCCCATCATCACCACCTGTTAGTCTTTTTTTAGCGTCTTTGTGTATTGAAAGTGTTTTAGATGATTAGGTTGTTTTTTTTCAGGCCCTTCATGGGGAATCATTTTTTCATGTCTGTGAAACAATCACATCTTTATCATCACAGTAAATGTTTGTTAAGCTGTTTTCACACACACACACTCCTGAAAATCTCTACAAAGTTTTAAGACAGCCTGCTCCGGACATTTTTCCAAAGTTTGTTTTAATACATGACCCTCAGTGGGAATGCTTCTCTGTCGAGGCAGGAGGATGGATTTAGGATGGAGGGCATGACTGCGGAAATCCAAGATGGTGGACAATGCAGCAGAGTCTTCCTACACTGTAATACAAGTTGTTTGCCTTTTATATTAGGCTAATAGTCCGTGTAAATTAGTGAATGTATGCAAAGTATCAACAGAAGATTGGAAAGGAACAAACTGAGGAGCAGAAGAGAGAATGAAGCGGCCTCATTATGTGCACAAAGATCACATCGACCACTCACAGGTCGAGTGTTATGATCGTCATCCTGGCTGTTTTCTGCTGCGTTTTCACATCCTCCCACCCTGACTTCAAAAAAAACTTTTACTACAGAAACTTGAAGTTCTTTTAAGAGCGGTCTTAAAACATTGCTTTTCTCTCGTGCCTTTGGTTGCTAGTTTGTCTTTTGTTTATCATTTTAAATGAGTTTGTATTGTGTTTGTTTATCTTCTTCTGTACAGCACATTGACTTTATGTTTGTATGAAATATGCTTTACAAATAAAAATTATAAAAAGTTGAATTGAATACAGTACGGGGCCAGCAGGAAAAGTTCAAGTTCTGAAAGAGTTGGGCTGGTCACACACGTGCAGCTCGACCTGAAAGTGTAAGGAAATGTTCAGGAGTTTTGTGCATGTGTGAAAACTCCCATCAGGCTCTTCTGAGTGCTAGTTTAAAGGATTCCTCTGCAAGACACTACATCGTGTTTCAAGCTGCTGCTCTCTCACTTTAGCGTGCTTTGTCTCGTCTTTATGATTCTCTGTTTGCCGCTGTGTCCACTGTTTTCTGCTGACTTTGATGCTAACTTCAGGAACTGCTCTGTCTGCAGGTCTTTAGGCGTCCCTCCAGGAAGAGGAAGCTGCCCTCTGACAGGACCTCTGCCTTTTGACCTGATCTACACCGACTACCACGGCTTACAGCAGATGAAGCAGCACATGGGTCTGTCCCTGAGGAAACACAAGTCAGTCTTTTGCTCTCTTTCTCGTTAAAATATGATCAGTTCTGTTTGTTTTCTGGGCTCTTTGTGTGCGCTGTTTGTTTGTCATTGATTCCTCATTAAATGTTTGACTACTGGTTTATTGACAGGCTGGTACCTTCACTGTACTCCGATCCAGATCAATCAGCCAGGTGCAAGTGTCACTTCTCTTTATGCAGCGAAATCAGTTTTTTTAGATCCAGAAAGAAAGAAAGAAAGAAAGAAGAAATCTAATTCCGATAAAGGGGAAGTTCAAAGAAAACAAAGTTTTAAAGTTAAAGCGGAGGAGAAACTATACTTTCCATCTTTCCTCGGTGAGTCACTAGACGTCCCTGATCTTTCCCTAGCAACACATCTGACAAAAAGCAAACCCTTTTCTTGATTCCCACCTCGGTCTTTCCTCAGAACCAACCGATATCAAACTGCAAAAAACATTAGTCTTCAGTTCTAAGAATCACAGAGGAATTTTCATCTCACCAGAAAGTCACCTCTTCTGAGTCTTCACATTTGGATCCCTGTCGTGAGCCAAACATGTCTCAGCCATCTGGGTCCCCCCAACCCCCCCCACCCAACATACCTGCCAACGCTCCAGTTTTTCTGGGCTTCCTCCTGTATTTCTCAAGGCTGTCTCCTGGCCCCCCCTCCATTTCATTATCTCTCACAAGAAACTCCTACAATGCATGGATTCTTATTTTTTGTATGTTTGTCTGAAGATGCCAAAGTTGCCAGATCGTCTATGACTCATGATGCACACACACACACACACACACACAAACCACAATCACCCTATAATCGGCAACACACAAGATTCAAGAGGCGTGTTTACGCGACGGCTGCTCTCAAGCCAAACAGTGAAAATGTGAGTCATCTGTGACATATTGGGCGTGCACATTTCCACTGTTGCCTCATGATAAGTTGATGTGAGACGACCTGTGACAAGAATGACAGGTGACATGTGATTCTTCACACTTAAATGTAGAAATCAAGTATCTCCTCTGAAAATAACTCTGTGAGTCATGACTGTCTACAATGGGTGTAACACCCGAGTCCCACTGTCTGTGATGTTTTCCGAGTTTTCAGAGTCCTATCTTCACTTTGTTTACATCGCCAGGACGGCCGGCTGACTCCTCCCCTCGTGTATAAAAGTTGTTTAATTGAGGGACTAGAGAAAAGAAGAATAACATACTGTACTCACTGCTTAACTGTGTTTCTAGATCACGCTCATTTCAGGTAAATTTACATGCAGTGTGAAGATACCAGCATAATAAAGATCGCTAGCATTAGCATGCTAACACAACAATGCAGCGCAAGTTGTTTTGGTTTCATGCTGGAGCTCAAGGGCGACATCTGCTGGATCAAAAGAATCACATATAAAGCCTTTAATACTCAACGCCAAATTGTAAGATACAAAAACGATTACAGTCAATTATGTCTCAAATTTAACTCAACATACACCAGTGATCAAATATTATTGTCGACATATTTCTGGTTTTCATGATTTCATGGCAGATTTCTTCATGTTTCCAATTAATTGACATGTAAAAATTGACCTGAGGGCCACGTTGAGGGTAGATCTGGGCCGCATGTGACCCCCGGGCAACCAGTTGCCCACCTCTGGTTTATACTGATGGACACTTTACATAACAGTACCATCAGTGTGTGAATGAGTGTGACCTGCAGAGTAACAGGTCCATTTACATCCTACATCACTTCTTATGACGTGATTACCTTCATTGGTCTGTAGTAAAACAGATTATTTACAGGTGATGCTATAAGTCACAGAAACGGGTGACTAAGAGACTCTAATAAACATACAGAGAGTCTGTTCTTCTGTTTATTGCAGCTGTATTTTTTAAGCGCGGGGTATTCCTCTACATTGTACATAATGCATGGTGTTCTGCAGTTTGTTTTCCTTGTTAAGGTAAGAGGAGAGAGCGGCTGCATTCATCAAATTAGTAAGCAGCAGGCGCTCACAGTTTACAGTAATTCAGTCTGTTTCTTCTCCTGCAGTTTGAACTCTCCTGGGGGGGAAACATCCCCTGATCCCAGTAAACACCAGTCCAAGGTCCGCTGATCAACCACAACCTGTCAGCTGTCAGAAGAGCAGAAATATTATTTACTCTCCTCTCCTGCCTGACACTTGAGCGGAGACGCAGGGGGAATAATAAGGCTTCTGAAATAGTTTCACATCGCTGGATTTTCTTTTAGACTTTGTGAATATTCACCGCTCGTGTTTTTTTATGTTTTTGTCTCAAGCAGCTTGTCAAACAAACTGATTTCCTCCTTTGTTCTCATCGTTGGTTTTCAGCTTGAGTTTGATGTAGGAGGAAATGAATGCAAAGTTGTATTAGATGTTTTGGTGTTGATGTAGACAAAGGACCATCGTTTATTCCCAGCTGAAGCATTTCACTTAATCAGAGGAGATAATTCACACGTTTCAGTCGATTCAAAGAGACTTACACACGTTGTACGAGAGGTTTTTAAAATGTGTGTTTCAGTGTTGCTGCTCCTCACGGGGGGACGGTTAGTGAAGATGCTGATGTTGTGTTCAAGGTAGCAAATGATAGAAAGGTAATAGTTTTCATTTGACAACACTTCCATATTTATGAGTTAATTCATCTTATTAATCGAGATTGGATAAACCAGAGGGCCTCTAACACATATCCAAAAATAAAATGTTTTGTTTCGCATTTCCTGCTGTTAGTAAATAGAAGCTAAAGCTAGCGTCCAGCTAAACTGCTAGCTAATACCCCCTAAAGGCAGGATTGTTTTGGGTCAACCGGCTAAAGAATCTGATCAGTACTTTTGGTACTTGAATCAGAACAACTCAAGGCTTTATATTTTTGATCCAGCAGATGTCGCCCTTGAGCACCAGCATGAAACCAAAACAACTCGCGCTGCATTGTTGTGTTAGCATGCTAATGCTAGCGATCTTTATTATGCTGGTATCTTCACACTGCATGTAAATTTACCTGAAATGAGCGTGATCTAGAAACACAGTTAAGCAGTGAGTACAGTATGTTATTCTTCTTTTCTCTAGTCCCTCAATTAAACAACTTTTATACACGAGGGGAGGAGTCAGCCGGCCGTCCCAACGATGTAAACAAACTGAAGATAGGACTCTGAAAACTCTGAAAACATCACAGACAGTGGGACTCGGGTGTTACACCCATTGTAGACAGTCATGACTCACAGAGTTATTTTCAGAGGATATACTTGATTTCTATTATATTTAAGTGTGAAGAATCAAATATAAAGACTTTAAATAAACCAAAGTTGATGTTCTTGATTTTCTCTCAGGTGTCACATCCGAGTGATCGACACCTTTGGCACCGAGCCCGCGTACAACCACGAGGAGTACGCCACTCTGCACGGCTACCGGACCAACTGGGGCTACTGGAACCTGCACGGCCAGCAGTACATGACCATGTTCCGTATGTGGACTCACTTACTCTGATTGATGATGTGCGTCTGACTGTGGGAGCGTGCAGTGTGGGGGATGAACGTTTGTGGCTTCATGTGTGAGTTTATAAAGTCACCAGGTTGAAACAGACAGAAAATGAGATTAACCACATTCTGCAGTCTTATTGGATGAAATTATAGCTCCTGGTTAAACGTGTGCAGCTTCTGTTCTGAGCTGTGATCTGGATCTCCACAGCAGCTCCTTTTAGTGGAATCTTTTTTTTCTTCTTTTTTTTTTCCAAACATGAAATGGGACTTGTAACTTCATATTGCCCGTTTGGTTTTGTTTGTCCTTGGCAGCCCACACTCCTGATAACTCTTTTATGGGTTTTGTGGCGGAGGAGCTGAACGAGACGGAGAGACTGAACATTCAGAGGAACAAGGTGAACAACATGGCCGTCGTGTACGGCAAAGAAGCCAGCAGGTGGAAGGTCAGTATCCTGACAAAAACTCTTAATGCATTAAGTAACTTTAGTGACATGTTTTGTGTTCTCTGAGAGGAGAACAAAGTGGATTTATGAGAGCTTTGTCAGTTAGTGAAGGAATAATTCAGTCATGAGGTCTGTAATGAAGCACTTCCAAAGAGGATCTTTCCACTGATGTATAAATAGAGCTGTGATTAAGGGCAGAGGTTTTCAAACTGCCAGGGTGTTTAGGAAAGTGAGGTGAGACTCAGGCCTTGTTCAGAGATTGAGATTGAGATTTTTTGAATTCCATTAAATCAGAATCAAATATGAAGTTTAGTGAGCGTTGGAACAGAAGTTTCCTCTGCAAACGATCACGACACACACTTTTGAAACGCCCACTGGATGTTACATTTCCTGCAAACAAGTCACTCCTCCAGGAATTTGGCCCCGAGCTGGAGCTGGTAGAAGAACAATTGTTTTTGTTTAGAGTCAATTTTCCCTCCGAGCTACTGGCACGGCTTCTCGCTTTTTTTTTTACTGTATCTTTTTGAAGTGTTGCTCGCCTCCCCCCCCCCCCAAGGTTCGCTTCAATTGAATCTGACTGCAGCTTTGTTCCTACACTGCGGCGGTATCATTTCCCCGTTTGTCAGAACCTGAGCTGCAGAGGAACATTTGTCAGCGCGAACGATTGTGGCGAGAGAAGCCAAAAGTGGAGCGGTTTTCCTCCAGACAATGAAGACTCATCTCCTCACTCACCGCAGTCGCTTCTTCTTCTTCTTCAGTTCTGAGCTTCACAAGAGAAATTTCAGGGCTGTTTAAGTCTTTATTCTGTCTTTGTCTCTCTCGCTTCCATCCTCACACCTCGTCTCTCTCTCTCTCTCTCTCTCTCTCTCTCTCTCTCTCTCTCTCTCTCTCTCGCTCTCTCTCTGTGCTGTTCTGTATTCATGTTCCCACACTGCTTCATAAAAAAAGTACGCCTCCTTTTCAAGCGTTTGCCAAAGAACTTAAAACCAAACTTTTTTTTCCCCGACATTCTGTTGCCTGAAAATAATTTTTAAAACTTAAATTGTGTTTGTGAGTTTTATATCTAAGCGCCTCATTTCTAAATTTAAAAAAAACAAAACATCTTGACTTCAAACATCTGGATCAATAAGCGAAAAAGAAAACTTACAGAAACTATTTTATTCCCACTGCAATACACATTTTAAACCAGGCTAGATAAGCAATGTTTTTTTTAAAAGCTGTGCATGTGTTTTTATCTATTTAGGGTACTTTTAGCTATTTATGACCTAATGTGAGTGTGTGTGTGAATGTTTGTATGTTTTCATGTTGAGCCTCAACAAAAGGTCATTTTCTGTCACAGTGTGATAGACAATAATGTTTTTTGAATCTTTGAACTCTGTTGTTATGAAGCGGTGGTTTTATATCACAAGATGAAGTCAACAAGATTCAATTCATGGAATAAATCAAAAAGGAGAAGGTGATTTCACACCATGTTTTCAGAGGATGACTATCATTTTCAGAGTGATTTCTTTCCTCCATCTCGCTGGCAGACATTAAAGCATCCCGAGATGAAAAATGAGGAATAAAAACTCCGATGACATTTATAGATGATTTATGCCTGAAGACATGGGCACGGTGAATAATTCATTACGTTCCCCCAGAAAGACTTTTTTTTGGGGGGTATCGACTAATTTGATTCTCTGCATGTAAATGATTGCATCGAGTCGTCTCCACGGGGCGGCATGGAACATTTTAAAATCTGTTGATTTAGGTCTTTCACCACACCACAGGTACAGATTAGGGATCGGTTACTGAGAGGTTTATGACAGCTCTGCTTCTTCTTCTCATCTGAATTAACATATTCATGCACCAAATGCTTCGGGTCTCTGAGTTGAAGATTAAAAATATTCTGGGACGTTAAAAGCGACAGAAACGATTATTTCAAAAGATGTTCCAATGGATCTTTTTTATTTTCATTTCATCAACAACATGTAACTTTTCCAGCTCAAAACAGTCGATTCAAAGGCGATCTAATCGTTCAGAATTGTACCTTCTCTATGTTCTCTATTCTCTTCTAATTCATAATTTTAATGCTCAACTCGTCTACGTCCTGCTTCGCTGTTTGTCTCTTAAGGGAAAGGAAAAGTTCCTGTCCATCCTGCACCGCTACATGGACATCCACGGCACAGTGTACTTCGAGACGCAGCGCCCCCCTGAGGTGCCCGCCTTCGTGAAGAACCACGGCCTGCTGCCTCAGCACGAGCTGCAGCAGCTGCTCAGGAAGGCAAAGGTGGAGACAGTCAGCCATGCTGTCATTTGGGGGCGGGGCTTTGTCGAGAAATCTCACAGTTCAATTTGATTTCTGGAGTCGATGTGGCTTCTATCAGAATTTGATCAACATGCTTTGATATTGATGACAGAAATACCCAGATCATTCATTACAGTACCTTCTGATATTTGTTACATAATAAAACAAACACAGCCGCTGCAAAACTGGCAACCGCACAACCAAACAGATCTACATCTATGTGTAAATAATATGCACATGAAGAAACAATATTTGTGACTGATAATCTGTTACAAGTGTTTTGACTTATTCCCTCTTCTGTCTTTTTTTTATTTTGTTGTGAAGCTCTTCATCGGGTTTGGCTTCCCCTATGAAGGTCCCGCCCCTTTGGAGGCCATAGCCAACGGCTGCGTCTTCCTCCAGCCCAAGTTCAGCCCCCCTCACAGCTCGCTGAATCACGAGTTCTTCAGAGGGAAGCCCACCTCCAGGAAGGTAGGCGCGCGTGTCTCTGACATCAGTCGATTCCTTTTAGGAAAATTTAAAAAAAAAAATACAAATTTTGCAGGAATGATTTCACAACATCAGATATTGACCTCTATTTCTGTTTCACATGCTGGTGAATAAATCCCACATATCCCCCCCTCAGGTGTCCTCTCAGCACCCGTATGCAGAGCAGTACATCGGCAGGCCGCATGTCGTCACTATCGACTTCAACAACTCTGAGGACTTTGATTCAACCATCCGGGAGATCATGAGGAGCAACGTATGTTTTGCTGTTGTGTTCTTATTTGCACTCTTGCTTGTGGTGCAGCAGATCACAGTTACACTAAACCCCGAGCTGATACTTGTTTGCACGAACGCAGACACAGAATTTAAACGGAGAAAGTCAAAGAAACCTTACACGCTGAAATATCAACAATATTTTGTGTGAAATTCTGCAAAAAACATTTGTAAAAATATTAATTGAAGTCTGTATTGTCTTCTTGTTGGTGCAGTGGTTCTCCATGCACTACTTAAACGATGCCTTCTTGTCACTTCTCAGGGATTAAGCGGCAGTACATTTCTTTTATAATGATACATTTCCTGTCGATCTGTGGATCCTGTTCAGCCTGAACTGTGGGGGTCAGGGGGGGGGCGATCGAATCGGCTCAAGTGTAATCTGTTTCAACACTTCCTCTAAACCTTTGAAGCTGCAGCTTTATGATAGTAATGATAATTATTTGCTTTTTTGCAGACTTCAAAGTTTTTTCTGACCCACTTACTCAGCCATAAGCCTTTAATAGAGCTCTAAATCAACGGCATCCGACATTACAGAGCAAAATGCTTAGCTGGCTCCCCCCCCCGCTCCGCTCACCGCTAATTACTGTAGATATTGAGCGGCTCAGCAGGTAAACCGTGCCCACACCTGGGATCACATGGCGGTGTTCCAGAGGCCCTGGCCCACAGAGAGGAAGCATTATCCACAGCAGATCATGTTAATCAATCGTGCTGTGCTCAATCTGTCACCAGAACAACGCTGCGCCACAGTGCCAGGATGTGTGTGTGTGTGTGTGTGTGTGTGTGTACCGCCTGGTGTGTTGCATACACCTCATGTTTCGGGCTGATAGAGTAGCAGTCGTGGCACTGGTTAATATTTAACAAGTGCACACCACATTAAAATAATGAAATGAAACTAAAAGTACATTCTGGGCGTCGGGTAGCCGTGTGGTTGTGTTGCACGCCCCTTGTTCATGGGCTCAAGGTCCAGTCCGACCTCTGACCTTTGTCTAATCTACCTTTGCATCTAATCCCCCAATCTCTCCTCCCAACACTTCTTGTTTCTCCTCATCTTTCTCATTAAGGAAAATGTCCCAAAAATAACTTTTATTTACGTTTATTTTCCGACATTCAAAAAAAAATGCAGTTCCTCAAGTGTCCACTAGGGGCTGTTTCCAATTACCACAATGCAGCTTAAACTGTGGGCTTTCTTTGTCTTGCTAGCTAGTTGACGTGTCAGATGGTCGTGTTTCATCCTTACTCCAAACGCGTTCTTTGATTCATGTTTATTTGTCTTGTTGATGCTCATGTTTGTTATTTTGTTGTCCTTCTCTCTGTGAGCTCCCGAGCTGCCTCTCTGTCTGAAACTCTCTAATGTCAGATTTTACTGGCACCATAGCAAACCGTCATAATGGAAATCAGGGGAAGCTTAAAAAAAAAAAATGTACTCAAATGTCGTTCACTCCTTCCTGATCGTAGTTGCCTCAAGCTGGGTTGTTGGGTGCAGCTTTCTGGACTCGAGTGCTTCCAGTGGAACTCTGCACTGGGATTCTTTTTTTATTTCATGTCATCACTGACTGCAGGAAGTAATGAATGTTTCTCACATTTGTTTTTGTGTCAGAGTAATGCAATCAGTTTAGGTTTATAAATCGCACAGTCGATTCAGAAAATGTTTTCTCCTTCTGAATTCAAATCGCCCTCTATGAAGTATATTCTCCCTCTCTCTCTCTCTCTCTCTCTGATTCTATTATATAAAAGATGCCCAAAAGGCAAATTGCATTGGGGAATGGCTGATGAAGTGCCAGATACATTTCATTAAACTCAGATGAAATAAAGTAATAAGCGAGTGCTAAAAGGAACACAACACTAAAAGAAACCATTTATCAGTTTAAGAGCCTGAGTGCTTTAGTGGCCTGATGGTAAACAATGAGATCTCACTTCAGCCGGGGACCACGGGAGATGTTCAGAGGGGGATTCTGCACTTTGAATCCTCACAGAATCTGTCACCATCGGTCCTGTAAATACCCGGGAATTTCCATGATTCCTGGCAGTTGATGGCAGGTGTCTGGCCTGGCTTGCCTCCCTCAACGATCCATTTGGATGAAACCACAGACCATTCATACTGCTATGTTAGAATAGATAATAATAATAATGGGTTTCCTGGATCAGGGTCACCATCTAACCGGCGGCCGCCCCCGGACAGCACTGGCACCTGAAAAGAAACTGCAGACACTTTGAGGTTCTGCCGGTTTCAATACAGATGACTTTAAAATGTGCTGTTCTGTCCGAGGCTGATCCAGAACCAGAAGCCCTTTGTGATGTGTTGCTACATACATTGAGTCATCTTCCAGTCTCTCTTGAAGAACAGCACAGGGGTCAGAGGGCTTTTATTCATCATGATAAAAATAGTAAAGCCAGATATGAATAAGTTATGTTGCACATGGCACGATAAGTGAGGCTACAAGAACAGAGCAGGTAGAAAAGAGCTCCTCTGTGGGGAGAAAAGGGTTCTTTGAAAGGAGATGAAACTATCAATCAGTCCTCTCAGTAAACCTGAATGAAGTGTTTTGTTTTGTTTTAATTAATGCTTTGTGAAAGAGGGGCAGATATTATGAGATTAGTCTTCTTTCTGCTCCTTTTCCTTCAAAATTTGAGATTTTATGTTTGTTTGTTTTTCTTAACTTTGTTGTTTATTTGAATGAAATAAAATAAAATAATCCATCACCTGCCTTTCAAAAGTCACACTCTGGGTGACAGGCGTCATGTGGGACACCTTAAGGATCCTGAATGCACCCTCCTCGGTACCCGCTGACCACTGGTCCTCTCGTCGGCTCACTCCATTGTTTCAACACATTGATGGAGTCATCACTAAAAAAAAAATAATGAAATCAATTCTCAGAGCTGTCACCTGTGATGCATGAGGTCATTGATTTTAATGTGAGGCTCGTGGCATGATATAAGCCCTTCACAATTACGCTAATGAACATGTCAGCTGTGATTAACTAGCAGGTTTTTATTTCCTGTAATTACAATGGCCTGCCTTTGTGGACACACACCCCCACCCTTCCCCTCCTTTCCCTTTCTATTCTTCATTTTATTAATCTGTGTTGGCAGGTGGAGCCGTTCCTGCCTTACGAGTACACCTGTGAAGGGATGCTGGAAAGAGTCAACGCCTACATTCAGAACCAGGTGGGTCTCAGCCAGGACTGAAGCACATGAGCGGGCGTGCTGGATGGCGTCGTTATGAGGTGACAGAAGTTATTTGCCGCTGCGTATGTTCCCTCCCGGCTGATTAGGTCGCTCATAGTTTTGGGGGGAACATCAGTGCGTGAACCACGAGATTAATTTTGTGGCTCAATTTACTGTGACTCCCGCCGCTGGTGAGGCCCCTCGAGTATCCTGAGTTAATAATGACAGAGCAGAGCAGTTATTTATGACTGAAGCTGTGATTGGTTTATACATATTACAGCTGAAATATAATGAGGTCATAATGCTGGAAATTAGAGGAACAAACAACCGACTCAGAATTTATTAGGGGACTCTGTGACGGGACAGCAGAAGACTCAAAAATGAATTGAAGAGTTTCTCTTTGTTTGTTTCATCATGCAGCCTGCTGCTGAGGATGACTCTGAATCTGTAAGTTAAATGTAAAGGTAGCACAAGCAAGGTGTTGTATCTTTGTAGACGAAGACATCTTGGGGCCTGCCGAACGACTCGAGCAACACATTCTGAATGCCTGATGGAAAAGGAATACTTCAATAAGTTGTGATCATTAGACCAGGACTGCTAAAGTTGCATTAAAGCAACAATATGTAGAAACTTTGTTTGGTGCTTTTTGCTGCACACCGAAGGACTCTGCATAGATAGATAGACTTTATTGTCTGTCCCAACAGAGACAGAAATTCTCCTTTATAATAGTAATAATTAAGTTTATTTATAAAGCACTTATCAAAACCAACGTCACAAAGTGCTTTACAGAAAAAAGAAAAAAAAAATCCCAACAGTCAAATACACAACAATAAAATCCTATTAAAAAAGCATGAAAAATAAAACAACAGTGCAGCAATCATCCAATGAACAGAGAAAAGAGAAACAACCGAGACAAAGATTAGCTAAAGTTAACAGTAAAACAAATAAAAACATCATGAAACAAGGATTAGAAGAAGGCCTTACCATAAAAATGTGTTTTTGACAAGGCTCGAACAATAAACACAACTTACATTAAAAACAGAAAGTGCAGTACATTCAAAGAGGACTTACAAACAACTGTTTCTAAAAAGGGGGTTCTGTTTGATTTTGTTCAGAATGGTTATTGCAGAGGGAATGAAGGATTTTTTTGTAGATGTTTTTCGGGGCCAGAGGGACTTTGTAGCGTCTGCCTGATGGCAGTAACTAGAAGGAGTGGTGGAGGGGGTGAGAGGGTAGTTTGTGGTGAACCGATCATTTTGCTGGCCTGATTAAAGATGCGGGAGAGTTTTTTTTTTGTGTTTGGTGGTGAGGGAGTTGAACCAGGATGAGATGTTAAAAGTGAGGATGGATTCAGTGATTGAGTTAAAATATGTTTGCTGACATGAAAGGTCCTTAGTTTCCTCGTCAGGTGGAGTCTCTGTCTCAGGTCTCAAAGGTTTGATACTCCTACGACGACGAGCTTTTGTTGACAATTAGAAGGTTTTCTTTTTCCTTCTTCTTTGATGCAAAGTGAGCTTCCTTAAAAAATGTGCCAATATTCATCATGCATGTGCTCGATAGCAAACAATACAAGAATACACACACAAAAAATACTAGTCCAGCACAACAGACACACACGTGGTTCTGGCAATTTAAATTACTCTCTCACACACACACACACTCACTCACTCACTCACTCACTCACTCACTCACTCACTCACTCACTCACTCACTCACTCACTCACTCACTCACTCACACACACACACTACTCAGCGACAAAAACAAACTTCTCTTCTTCATTTTCCAAAAGTCCAACACAACATGCTCTCTGCCAGCGAGGTGTGTGTGTGTGTGTGTGTGTGTGTGTGTGTGTGTGTGTGTGTGTGTGCTCCTGCAGAGAGAGAGAAGGGAGAGCAATCAGCAAACAGATAAACCTGTGCCAATTAACTCAGTTCTGTTCCCCCGAGCCCCTCCCACACATCTCTCTCCTCACACCACTGCCCCCAAAAGAGAGCAAAACTTTAAAGCAGATAGTCCACATACGATATCAGCCGACACATGCAGAACTTGAACATTTTCATACTTTATTCAGTTCTTCTAGTGACCCTGACTGTTTTATTCTCTAGGTTAAATGCACAGTGCTTCATTTATTTCATCCTGTGCTCGGAGGCATTTAGAAAAAGGTTTTCACAGATTCACATTTTCGGATGGATGATCGCTTCAAATCAAAAAACACCAATCAGATTTTTGAAGATCTGCTCTTCTCATTTCAGCTGAAGTGCTGAAATTCTATTTAGGAAATCTCCATTCTGGGATTTCTCTGCTGCTTGGCCTCAGTATTTATACCTCTACGGCTCTGCCAGATATTAAATTCTTTGCAGGCGGCAGCTGCAAAGTTAATCGACGAGCACTAATTTTCCTCAATGGTGGTCCTTGAGAATGTGGAAAAAAATGTTTCTACATAAAAATGGACTTGTTAGTTGTGATTTTTTTCTCACAGTTAAATGGAATTACTCAGTCATCAAGATCCATTGTTGCTGCGCGGTTTAGTGTGGGAGTCGTACAGGATGCTGTGTGTTTGGATACATTCTCGTCCTTTTGGTGAATCCATCTTGTTGTGTAATTGGTGTTGTGTTTTGCAGTGGCAGGTTAAGGAAGTGTGTAAGCCTCTGTGCTGTTCTCACAGCTTCTATTCCCCCTGCTGCCACACACACACACACACACACACACACACACACACACACACACACACACACACACACACACACACACACACACACACACACACGCTCAATGTGCCGTGACCGACCGAGGCTGTGACTGCTCGTCTCTCAGAGAGTCTAAGGTCAGACTCTCAATCAGATCCCCCCCTCTCTTTTTTCTCTTTTCTTTCCTCCTTTTCTTAACCTTCTCTCTGCCCGTGTCAGACTTTTTCCACTTTTATTTCCAACTTCTCAAATCACTTGTGACTTGATCTTATTTTCCTTTGACCGACTCTCTCGTCCTCCCCCACAGTAACTTCCTCCCACCTCTCCATCCACAAAAAAACACACTTGGTGGTTGTGGCAGCTCTGTGTCTTCCTTTATTAACAGACACTATCGCTTGTCCTATTATTTCTGGATTCACTGCATCCCTATAATTTAGGAGAGAGTATTCAAGTGAAAAATCAGTTTGACTGACATTTCTAATATAGCACCAGGGACACACACGACGGGGAGTTTCTTTTCTTTTCAGACAGTTCATAAGGAAGGGACAGAGGCGTTTGTGAACTCCAGAGGCAGCGCAGTCATTTATATTAATACAAACTGTCGTGGGAATAAACATTTTTTCCCTCCTGAAAACTGAGATTTATGATGAAGGAAATAAGTTGATGTATACGTTCCTGCAGGCCGTTCACACATAACAGAAGCTGAAATGAATGAGGGCTGAGTTTCATTTAGTTGCCTCAGTTTCAGGACTCTGGTTATAAACATTCAGACTTACTAGGACACCAGAATAAATCAGAAATAATGTGAAAGTTTTCAGACACACCTGTGAGTAGTCTGTACCAGTGTTGTAGTAAAGACCACACTAACCGAGACCAAGACGTACCCGAGACCAGAGTGCTCCAAGACCAAGACCAAGACCAAGACCAAGACCAAGACATTTAGGGATCGAGACAGAGTCAAGACCAAGACATACCCGAGACCAGAGAGAGTTTGGAGACCCCCAGTCTGAGACCTAGACAAGACCAAGTCCAGAGAGCACCAAGACCAAGACCAAGACATTTAGGGATTGAGACCGAGTCAAGACCAAGACCAAGACCAAGTCAGGGCGAGACCGAGATGAGACAATAAATATCAAAAACACGGAGAAGGTTGCGGTCGTAACCAGGGGATAAAAACAAATTCTGAATTGAAGTTATTTGTTCTTTTAGAAAGAGGCGTTTCCCTTCTTATCACAGTAATGACCTGGAAAAAGAACCTTTCAGTGGCCCAGTCCGCCCAGTCCGCCCAGTCCGCCCAGTCTGAGACCTGCAAAAGTGGTCTCGAGATCGGTCTCGAGTGCTACAACACAAGTTTGTTCTGATTTGGACATAGCATGAGAACAAATGTGAGATCCACAGAATGCTAAAAAAATACTTGGATGAGATCTACAAATATGCATCGGAGCATTCTTTCTCACTTACTGTTTCCCACAATGCAAAGCCAGATGTCAGATTGTAAGTGGAGGCTAGCGTTTGTCGTCAGCTTGACTTCCTCATTGTAAGACCAGAAACCAGCTGAGCCTGGCATACTGCAAAACGACCACCGAAACCGCCACAGACTGGATACAAAGAAGGACGAAAAGACAGCTTCCCGAGACATTTTGGAGCTCCCCCTACTGGCTGGCCGCAGTATACTGCATGTCACATTTGGCTCTATTTTAGTACAACGGGAGGAGGAGTTGGAGATGCGTCATCACAGTGACTTATTGGTGAATTTGTCCACTGATTATCTGTTAACATAGCTCCTTCAGTAACTTATAATGTTGTTGATTTCATGCGTGTGTGTGTGTGTGTGTCAGAGCGCTTGTCTGCTTGTAGTCGTGCAGTAGTTGCAGCAGGAGATGGAGAGATTGGAAGCCTGCTTATTGCCTGCGGGCGCTCGGAGCCTGTTTAATAAACGGGTCTGGAGGCCAGTGGGATATGTCAGAGAAATGTTATTACCCAGGTCTTATGAAAAGCCTCAGCTGGAGGGGGAATCTAATCAGGCCTCTCACCAGAGCCTAATTCTGCCTCCGGTCCTCATTTGTTATTGGGTGGGCATAACTGCGTTTGTATCTTTTCCTGGATGATTGACGAGGAACTGTCAGCTCTGATAAGCAGCTCTGGACTGAAACTGTTTCTTTTTTAGTATTTCCTTGTATGTGTGGCAGAGCTTGAACGTACAATTTGAAACTGATGTAAGGTGGAAAAAATGGTGGTTTATGTAAGCTGACAGGTCAAGCGTTTTGCAGGATAACACTTGAACATATTTCTGATCTGGGTTGTTTCATCTTTTGCACCTGCAGGACTTCTGCTCCCCGAAGCTCCGTTTCCTCCCGTAAACTCCTCTTGGCTCGGCAGTCCTCCCACTCCTTTCATCCTGCAGCAGCACAACTCCAGCATCCTCACCTGGGCCTCCAACGCCAGCGCCTACACATCCTGGCCGCCCCTCAGTGCGCTGAGGCTGCTGGCTTCACTGGAGGGCCAGTCCTGCGTGAAGGCGTGCCAGAGCGCCGGACTCATCTGCGAGCCCGCCTTGTATCGATTCATCAACATAAAGGAGGCCTTCAGCGCGTAAGGCGTTTCTTTCTAGTTTAATAACTTGTTTAGTCAATGCTATGTGTAGTTAGGCGGAACCAGAGAGTGGAGAAGAACATACTTGAGAACAGAAAACGTTTAAATTACATGCTTGGAGATCGTACCGGTGGCGTGCAGACAGTCTATGGTCGTGCAGCGATCACAGGGAATAAACGTCCCCAAGCCCCTCCCACTCGCTCCAGGTGAATTCTCCTGATTATGTCCTGCTGTGTTCGCACATCAGCTCACTCAGACTTGGCTGAAACGTAAACATACAGAGCTTTTATTTTGAAGTTGCAAAGTTCATTCTTCCTGTTTCCTGCTCCAAAAAAAAAAAAACCCAGTAAATGTTGTTACTGTGTCGATGTTTACCAAATATTTATAAATATAAGAATCATTTTGTTTGTCAAAGCGTAACCTTAAATCCTCCTGAACTTAACAAAATAAAAGTCTTTATTTACTGTGAAGAGAATTGAATAATGTGACATTTTGTGTTCACACATGCAGCTCACAGTTTTGTGGAAGTAGGAAAGTATTAAAAGAAAAGTAACACCGGATGTTACCAGCAAATTATTTCCCCGTTGATTGAACAGAAAATTAAATTTAAACTAGTTGACTTCTCCAAAGGGAAGAAAAATAATGAATCTCTGCCTTTGAATCACTTAGTGACATGAGTGCATTACTCTGCAGGTAAACAATGCCACATTAGTTTGCTTAGTGTGGCTAACGTTAGCAGTGCTAGCACCACCAGCCTGGTTATCGTCCACACGCCCCCCCCCCCCCCCCCCCGTGCTGAGCGTGGTGACACATGGCTCCAGTTTCGTGGTTATATGCCTGATTATCTGCTCTGCTCCTACGAGATGCCATCCGTCCGCTCTGCTGGTTTAAAGGTAAAGGAGGACCGTCAACTATAAAATATTTCCACTGGGTCAGACGCAGCGATCTGCAGTGTGCAGCTTAGAACATATTCACAGTTAGATGTACATTTGACGGTCAACAGGAAGTGTGATGACAGTTTTTTGTCAGAAAAAACTTGTTGTGAATAAAAAGGACGACATCAGCAAAGAGAAAATACTTTTTCGAAACAGATCATCAAAATCTACTTTCACCCAAACTTTCCTCACAGCAGCTTCAAAAACCAAATAAAAGGGAAAGATACCTTCTTGTCTAGTGCACCATTTCTTTCATGACTTTTTCATGAAATGCCTCATCTGGACCTTCGGAAAATAAGACTCTCTGCATCGTAATGAGCTTTCTTTATTCCCCTCTTACAATAAATTTGAATAGCTAAGTTTCCCTCCAGACAGAGTATCGTGCCTCATTTGATAGTTTTCAAAATTATGCAGTTGTGAAGAAGTACAGGAGGAGACACGAGCTCACCCTCTCCCTGGAAATATTTCCCCTTCATTCTCTGAGGTGCTCAAGGCTACACTGTACCATAAATATTAATTATATAGGTGGAATAATCATTGATACCCTGCGGCCGCCCGTCTAACATTCATATATTACACATGTAGTTGTGCTGAATGAGTGGGAAAAAGGGATTAATGATCTTCTTTATGCATGAAATACTGAGCAGTTCTTCACTCTGTGTCGTCCTCCAGGTTGGACTTTCAGTGCGAGGGTCTGGAGTCAGAGATGAACCACCTCTTCCCGGCCTTCTCAGCCGAGCACGCTGAGTGTGGCCTGCAGCAGGATCCGTTACTGTTCAGCTGTGCCGGCTCGAGCTCCAAATACCAGCGCCTCTGCCCCTGCAGGGACTATCTTAGCGGGCAGGTGGCGCTGTGCAGAGACTGCCTATGACCAGAGGAGGTATAGAGACTCTTCTCTTAAAAAAAAGCTGGAGAGGTCCAGGCTGCACCTTGAAGACTCCCTCTGCAAAGGGAAGAAGTGCTGGGACACGCTGAACACAGAGACTCTGCTCCTTACCTCTGACCACAGAGCGGCGGCCAAAGAAGGTAAAAACGGTTTTACCTCTCAGGGAACTGCATGATTGTACTTCTTGAATCTGGAGAGTTTGAGCCGGTGAGGTTTTGAAAATCGACGTGGCTGCATCAGTAAAATTTGCAGCCATTTTGAAAAAATGTGTCATTGTTGGATTTAGAACGATCCAAAGAGGAAATCTTTTGATCAAACATGTTACAAATGCTTGAAGTTCACAAGTGTGTTTACTCAGTGTTGTGTGGAAACCTACAGTATCATCGTGGAGTTTGGATATTTGTACTAGATGCACCCAAAGCCATTTACACCATGATGAGATGTACTATTTTACATGTCCTGTAATGAATATATTTGTACATTAGTGTTGTTTAATAAAAACACTGGAGGAAAAACAAGTGTGACCTGTTATTCATGTGAGGAAATTACTTTTAAAAAATGAATGCTCAGTTAACTTATAAGACGTCATCAATCTTTTATGCTCAATTTCTCGAAGCCCAGAGCGGAAATATCCTAATTACTTCTTCCAGTGTGTGATTTATAAGCAAACAGAAGCTGTCTCACACTCATTAGTTTATAAAGAAGTGTTTGGCTGATGGACTGTGCTTTGAAATTAAAGGAACAACAGTGTTGGCTCTCAGGAAATAAATGCTCGGCGCTCCCTCGTTGCTCTAAACGAAGCCGATATGTGTGAGTAGCACTGAAGCTCTCGTTGTGTTTTTCAGCACAAGTGTGTTAGCAAACAAGTGAAAAATGTAATGTAGAAATTAGAATCCATATTCAGAACTGATCTCAAGGCTGTCATTTCATTCATTGTCAAGACTAGAGCACCATCTCTAGTTATTCAGAGCAGTTGTTCATCTTTTTCCTTTGGAGTCTCAGAGTTAAGCTTTAAGTGGCTAACACACAACAAAGTCAAAGTTTGAAGTTTGTAACAATAAAAACATTAGAGCACATCCACAGGTCAGTTTGGTGTTTAAACCCCACTTCAGCTATATTTCTGTGTATTTCCCTTTTCTTTTCTTTTGACTGTTTTAACTCCTAAATGAAATCTGAGCAGCACATTCAGAGCGGTTGAAATTTTTTTATTTTTTTTATACACACATACGGACGTTAAATCTGCACCGAGATGCTGCGATGTCGCTGAAGTCATTACGAGGAGAGAGCTGCTGCTCCAGTGAAGCCGAAGCCCTCCGTTAAGATAAGAGGATTTTAATGAGACATCCTCAAAAAGACAGAGTTGGAATTTGCCAGTTTTTCATTTAATGATGCTGGTGCTGGTGTCTCTTTGACTGATAGTAAGGACCATTACACTATATGCTCATTTCTGCTCTCCAGTATATAATCTCTGGACTAATATTGAACTTTCTCCTGATCCACACAAACCACATGCAGAGGGATGTATATAAATGTATGTAGTGTGTGTATTTGTTGGCAGCAGTCAGGAAGGATTGGACTGAGTGGTGAACAAAAACCCCCAGAGGCTTAAAGCTAAAATTGAAAAAAAGGAATATAAGAATACCAAATCAGAGTTTTTCTGATTTGGTATTCTTTTCCCAGGCTGAACCTGCAGAGCTGCTCCCTCACTTTAGCACTTTTCTTAAAGTCTTTATTTGTGATTTTTCACACTTAAATGTAGAAATCAAGTCTATCCTCTGAAAATAACTCTGTGAGTCATGACTGTCTACAATGGGTGTAACACCCGAGTCCCACTGTCTGTGATGTTTTCAGAGTCCTATCTTCACTTTGTTTACATCGCCCGGATGGCCGGCTGACTCCTCCCCTCGTGTATAAAAGTTGTTTAATTGAGGGACTAGAGAAAAGAAGAATAACATACTGTACTCACTGCTTAACTGTGTTTCTAGATCACGCTCATTTCAGGTAAATTTACATGCAGTGTGAAGATACCAGCATAATAAAGATCGCTAGCATTAGCATGCTAACACAACAATGCAGCGCAAGTTGTTTTGGTTTCATGCTGGTGCTCAAGGGCGACATCTGCTGGATCAAAAAATCACATATAAAGCCTTTAATAAGGTGCACAGACAAAAAAGGGGACAACCTCTATCTTTGCTTTTGGAAAATGTTACCTAGAAAGTGACATTAATGTCTCTTTAAAAAGAAATTGTGTGCGAGAGTGACTGGAGTTCAGAGCAAAGCTGGGACTATTTCTGGGGTGAGTTTAAGTTGGAGAGAAGTTTCTTAAAGAAGCTCTTCTATCTCAACAGCTGTGGACTGCACTGCATCACACATAAAGATTCCCTTGCAACACATTTCACACACTTATATTTTAAGATTCATTCTATGGAGACGTTGTGCAAAGTGTGACACCCTCTGAAAACCACACTCACATAAGAGGCAAAAGAAAAGATGCAGAAACTAACCTGACTCTTCTCTTTGAGGTACAATTTCAAAGTCTAGACATGCTGCTAATGCCTGGACACGATTCATTTATGTAGTTTTCATGTTTTCTTGGTGATACTTCCCTGAATAAAGGAACACATTGAGCATGAGGAGTTACTTAAAACAGACAAACAGATCAGAAGTTAAATCACATCACTGTGGCTCAGTTTGTTTCTTAATCGGAAGGTTCAGGGGGTTCGATCCCCTGCGTCCACATGTCCGATGTGTCTGCAGGAGCTGGGTGATGATAATACTCATGGACACTTTACATAGGAAGCTCTGACATCATCGTGTGAATCTTGGACAAAAATGTCTTAAAGAACAAGAAAGCTGAAGTTTGTAAAAGATGTTTCTGTACATCGTAATAACTCACATGACTGTAGAGTCCAAGCTCAAATGAATTATTGGATGTGTAAAAGTTCAAATAAAAAAAGGATGCAGCAGCAGATCGACCCTCACATGCCGTGTGTGTGTGTGTGTGTGTGTTAGTGAAACAGTGACTTCTCCATTCAGCCCACTCCCGGGATTCAAGGCCACGGTTTATAAAAAACGAGAGGTTACACAGACAAGGATTGATGTTTCTCTCCTGCCTCACTCTCACCTCTCCGATGCTCCATCTGCTGCCGTCCTCTCTGTCTGTCTCTCTCTTTTTTTTTTATATCTGAATCTTCACCTGATCTGCTCAAGCTGGAAAAGTGATTTAATCACTGCTATTGAAGCTGTAACAACTTAACCCTGACCTCTCACCTTTCCCTTTTATTGGATTCTTAAGACGTTTCTTAACAATAGCCTCTCTTGTCTTGTTTTGGTTTGGAGAGTGGAAACCGGCTGTCTTCTCCTCGCTGCCTCGGCAGAGTAGATGCATCTCAAATTGTCTGTGTGGTCTGCTGTGTGTGTGTGTGTGTGTGTGTGTGTGTGCGTGTGTGTGTGTGTGTGTTCATTCCCCCGTAATAATAGGTGTCTGAATAACTGTCCCTCCCATTGAATTCACTAAATGGAGTGTGTCTGTTATGACTAAATAACTGCAGAATGAAAAACAAATTAGTCAATTTGAGAGACCTTTTCATCAGAATAAATTGTTGTGCTCGCAGTTCCCTGAGAGAATAAATCGAAGCTGTAGTTATACTAGTCAAAGCAGCTAACCACCACAACAGAAAACATTGATGAATCATTGATGGATCTTTTCTGTGCCTACTCGTTGCTCTTTGTCTCGTTTCTGCCTCCTTTTTTCAGCTTCTTCTTCTTCAAATGCAAAAGTGCAAACAGCTGTGAAAGGCTTCAGATCACCCTTGTTTTCGTATCCCTTCACTCTGGGAAATCACGTTCTCGTAATTGCATTTTTCCCTCATTATGCAGATTAATTGGATGGCTTGTAAATGCATCTTTTGTGCTTTTTCGTACCCCAAGCGTCAATTAAGAACCCACTCGACTGAGTTGTGCGGAGATGTGTACGCCCTGACTCCAACATTTAACAGCTTTATGTGATTGCACTTAGAATATTAGTGATATCAATGGGCTCCTGCTTCAGATCATTTGCTTTGTTGTTTTGCAGGAAGTGGACGTAAATATAGCACTGTTCATGCTCGTTATTCAGAGAACACACACACCACATTTCAAAGACATCGCTTGATTTAAAATGTCAGTAGTTATTATCTAATTTAAAGGCTTTATATGCTATTTCTTGATCTAGAAGATGTCGCCCTTGAGCACCAGCATGAAACCAAAACAACTTGCGCTGCATTGTTGTGTTAGCATGCTAATGCTAGCGCTCTTTATTATGCTGGTATCTTCACACTGCATGTAAATTTACCTGAAATGAGCGTGATCTAGAAACACAGTTAAGCAGTGAGTACAGTATGTTATTCTTCTTTTCTCTAGTCCCTCAATTAAACAACTTTTATACACGAGGGGAGGAGTCAGCCGGCCGTCCTGGCGATGTAAACAAACTGAAGATAGGACTCTGAAAACATCACAGACAGTGGGACTCGGGTGTTACACCCATTGTAGACAGTCATGACTCACAGAGTTATTTTCAGAGGAGAGACTTGATTTCTATATTTAAGTGTGAAAAATCACATAGAAAGACTTTAAGTATCGAATGTCAAAGAAGCAAAAACCTAAATGAAGCTCATTTTGACGCACATTTCTTTGTTAGGTCGAGTATGTATGTGCGGGTCCTTGTAGCTGGACTAAGTCAGAAAAAAAAACATCAGACAAAATGCTCATGTTGGATGTGCAAATCCATTTAATAATTCAAAAGGTTCAAAAGATTTATGAAGAATAAACTACAAGCTCTCGTATTAAGTTGCCATGGTGCAATGGTTTTTGATTCCTAGATAATACATTTTTTATTCTGACAGAGATATGGCCTCCACTTCTTCTGCAGCATTTTTCCCTCTTATGGTGAGCTGGTACATTTCACATGAGACCTTCTGCTGCATGTATGTGTTGCCTCAGTATTGCAAGTCCTGAGGGGAAAGTCTAAAGCACAACGATGAAGTCAAGAGGCCGCTCTACAGTCAGTCTGGATGTCTGTTGCAGAGCCAGCACCATGACATCTGTCCCACAGCTGTCTCACTGTGAGCCACTTGCACAATCACAAAGGCCAATCCATTACTGAATCTATAACGCTGAGAGTGTGGCTCAGCAGACACATTCAAACCAATCCTCCACAGCTTTGAGTGGAAAAAGACGAGGCAGTTTTTTGACTGCTGTCTGCGGCTCAGCTTTAAAGGGAGATCTGAGCGGCTCGGTGACTGCACACCTTTCAGTCCTGACAAATACCACGGCTGAGAGGGAGGAGGGTGGTGGATGAGAGGGAGAAGACAGCACAGCCGGCCCCAGCGACCCTGTTGTCTGAGTGGACTGTCAAGCTGTGAAAGAATGTGATTTAGGTGGTGTGCGAGGAATTGGATGTGGGAGAGGAGTGGCGGGAAAACGGCTGACCATCGCGCAGAGAAAATGCATCTCGGGGAGCGAAC